GGGCAGAAGAATAATAAATAAGAAAAAGAAAAGCGGGTAAACAAGAAGTGCAAAAGCAAAACACGTGTAGTGTTGCCAAGTCATATTGCTACATGGAGTATTTTAACCTCGCAACTACACATTCTACTAAATGTGTCTTGACATCGGTCAATTTTAACTTAACAGCCCTATTCGTGTGTTGTCTCAGTCGTCAATTGTGACAGCTCAATTTTGATTATCTCGACGCCATCTTCGTTGTAAGAAGTAAACAACGAAGAGTACGAAGAAAACCGCGTAATTGTTGAGCGCATAAATAATCATTTTTATTATGCAAATTCTTCTATAAATCATGTCGTTGGGTTAAATTATTCTGTACCTTATCGTGGACTGGGTAAAAGATTGTCGTAAGCGCCATTTTGAAATTTTACTAAAGATAATCCTTCATAAACTCAAAACGAATTAGCAATAAACACTAAAAATTAAATAATTTAAGAGTTTTGTGAACTAGTAACATTTTCAGAGGTGGTGTTGTAAAATCAGCTGATTTCTTTGCCTTACATGTATTTTGTTTTTGCTTTTACTGATTTGACAGCAAACCAATCAAAATCAAAAACAAAGTACATGTAAACTTTGTGGCAAATTGAGATTTGACATCACACCCGCAATACAAAATACATGTGACTGTTGTTGTTGTAATCTAAATTCGCCAGTAACACCATCTTATATAAATTCACTTTGTTCTCGCGTGATCTTGTATTTTTGGCTCATGGCAAGGCGAATTTAAACAAGGTGGCATGGCGAATTTATACAAGGTGTTGTAAAATCAGCTGATTTCTTCGCCTTACATGTATTTTGTTTTTTCTTTTACTGATTTGACAGCACACTCATCAAAAGCAAAAACAAAATACATGTAAACTTTGGAACAAAATACATGTGGTTATCGTTGTTGTAATCTAAATTCGCCAGTAACATCACCTAGTATAAATTCGCCTTGCAAGGTGGTGTTGTTAGATCAGCTGGTTTCTTCGCCTTACATCACGATGCAGCGAAACAAAATTGGCGCTTCCGCGGACCGCTAGTCCTCTCTTTCCCGATTTGACAGCGTCCACCTTTCGCTGACGTCACATTATTATTTTTTCGCACTAGTGATGAATACTAAATTTTCGTATTGTACCTAAAAGTAGATACACGTACCTAAACCGTAAACATGTATGTATTTTTATGTGCACATATTTTTGGTAGTTGGGGGACTACATCTTCCTTTTGTATCATAACAATTTTTCTACTTACATGAAACAATATTTTCCTACGTTCCAAATGTACCTAAAATAATGTGCGCTACCGAATGTAAGTGCAAATTTAAGAAGCTGAAGAGTAGGTACAATTCAAGAACGATAGAATACAAGACTGCGCCAATCGAGCTGAGAGCAATTGGGTGTGACGTCACATTATTTTGAGAATGAGAGTGTAAAGACTAATTTTGAAGAAGAAGAGGAAGAAGCGAACAAGTGGTGCGAAATAATGATGTAAAACTAGGTTGAATTGTACCTACTCTTCAGCTTCTTAAATTTGAACGTACATTCGGTACAAGCACACTATTTTTGGTACATTTGGAACGTAGTAAAATATTGTTTCATGTAAGTACGAAAATTGTTATGGTACAAAAGGAAGATGTAGTCCACCACAAACGGCTAATGTCAAAAGCGCCCAACTTTTTTCCTAAATGCGATTATAATGGGCTACTGGCGTGATCTTGTATTTTTGGTTCATGGGTACTGCTGTTTGCGCCACCTCTGTCTCCCTATATCGTGGAAGTTTATCGCTCATTCTCTCATTCTCGCGCTGTTCGCAGTATTGCCATTTCGACAAAAATGCCACTTTGCGACGTTTTATGCATCGCACAAATGTTCCTCGTATATTTACCACTTAATGTGGAGCACTATCCCAAAATCACAATAAATATTGGAAGTGTAGGGCTCGCTTAAAAGCTGCTAAATTTTCAAAACATTTCCTTCTAGTTCCAGATTGAAGAATTATTATCCGTGAAATACCTCTTATATATAAAATATTATAAAATGCGCCGTTCGTGTGCACCTTCAATGTTAAGGGCACGAGAAGATGAGAAACGCAGGAAGATCGATGGTCTGTTTGAAACTGAACGAAGCAGCGGGGATGAAGTGACCTCAACCACTGGAAATGAGGAATGTTGGGGCACCAGAAATAGAGGAGGTGGTAAATTTGAAAAAGAAGCCGCCAAAGAAAACTTTGATGCATTTAGTTCTAAAATAATTTTTAATGTTGTGTGGCGTGAAATTACAAAAAAGAAGCATAAAACATGGGACGGTGATGGCTTACTAGAAGTACAGTTGGATGTTCCAAAAGCGGTGCTAAAGGACAGCTCCGGTAGATACATTGGTACCAATACAAAGTTCAAAGCTGATGAGTTAGAAGAAGGCTACCAAATGGTTGTAGGCGGGAAGGAGATTGAATTATTAGAGCAAATTACCGACAGAAATTTATATTTTGCTTTGCGTAAAAAACAAGCCGATAGTCGCTGGAACGTTGAAGAAGAGCAGCAAAGTAGTGGAGTCGACAAAAAGATAAAGTTGTCTACTTTATACCAAGCACCATGTGCTCTAAAAAATAGTACTGAGTTGAGGGCTGAAAACATACCAACCACAAGCGGAATCCAAAAAAAGAAATTATACTGAATCCCTTGAATCAGCTAACCTTAAAGTAATTTTCAATGTCGTCTGGCGAGAAATTACTACAAAAAAGAATAAAACATGGAATGGTGATGGTATATTTGAAGTGCATACCGGTAGTAAGCGAGGTATTCTAAAGAACGAGAGGGGACGGGAAATGGGTACTCTAGAAAAAGTAAATTTAGCAGTATTAGAAGTTGGTACATTTTTGGAAATTGAGGATAAAGAACTAGAAATTTTAGAAATTGTATCACAAGACAGACATGAAAAGGAAGATATTAAGCAGACATCGCATAAAGTACACCGAAAATGTTCACCCAGCGTCAAAGTTAACGGTTTATTATTACCTTTCCCACCAGCAGAATATATTACAGTATTGAATACTACGTGTCGACCAATTCAACCGGTCGAAATCTCACCCAAGATCGCCCAACATTTGCGTCCGCATCAACGAGAAGGTGTCGCCTTTCTTTATCAATGCGTAATGGGATTCAAAAATCCAACTCATCGTGGATGTATACTTGCTGACGAAATGGGCTTAGGCAAAACCCTACAGTGCCTAGCGCTGGCTCGTACACTTTTGAAAGAAGGGCCTTACGGAGGTGAACGTGTAATGCAGCGCATCTTAATTGTTACACCCAGCACACTCACTCGAAATTGGGAGCAGGAGGTGAGTAAATGGTTAAAAACTGAGCGCATGTATTCATTTGTTGTGGGTGGTAAACAAAAGTTGGATTGCTATGCACATCAGCAGCATGTTCCATTTGTAATTGCTTCATATGAGAATCTACTTGCAAATGCTTCAGATTTTCAACGTCTAAAATTTGATTTGCTAATTTGCGACGAAGGTCATCGCCTCAAAAATCAGTCTACAAAAATTGTAGCTTCACTTCGAGAACTTAACATTCCTTGTCGTATAATAATTACCGGAACACCTGTGCAAAATGATTTGGGCGAATTCTTTGCCTTAGCCGATTTTGTGAACCCCGGTATTTTTGGCACAAAACAGGAATTTCATTTGTACTACGAGGTTCCATTGCAGCAGAGCCAATGTCCTGATGCTAGTATTGAAGTTAAGAATATAGCGGCAGAGCGGACACAAGAGCTAATGCAAATCTCAGAACAATTTGTGCTTCGACGGCTACAGCACGTGAATGGACAGTACTTGCCTAAAAAGTACGAGTATATATGCTTTGTACGGCCATCGGAGCTACAGCAGTTTTTGTTACAAAAAGCACTTCAACTTTATGCCCAACGAAAGGAAACCATTCTAAAAGATCTATCACCGCTTCAATTAATTACTGTATTGAAAAAAATTTGCAATCATCCTTCGTTGGTGGCGCGGACTAAAACCCCTAATGTACTGACGCGCCATTTGGAACGTTGTTTGCCTGATTGGGCGGAAATGGGACCCTTTGATTCCGCGAAATTAGAACTAGTGCAGAATTTACTTGTCGCTTCGGCTGTGCAAAATCGAGAAAAATGTGTTCTAGTTTCAAACCATACTAAAACACTCAATATGTTGCAGGGCTTGTGTGACTTTTTGGACATAAAATGTTTGCGTTTGGACGGATCCACAAATATTGCTCAAAGAAATTCAAATGTCGAAAAATTTAATAGCAACGCAGATGATTCGCTAGTATTTTTACTGAGTGCAAAAGCTGGAGGTGTTGGTCTTAATTTGATAGGGGCTTCAAGGTTAATACTTTTCGACCATGATTGGAATCCAGCGACCGACGCTCAAGCGACGTCACGCATATGGCGCGATGGGCAGCAAAGAGATGTGCACATCTATCGACTGGTGACCGCTGGTTGTATTGAAGAAAAAATATTCCAAAAACAAATTGCGAAAATGTCGCTGGGCGATTGTGTAACGCAAACTATTGCCAGTGGGAGTTTTGATAAAGCCATGAAATTTTCAGCAGATGAGCTTTTAGATTTGTTTAGCTTACAGGAAGATTATTCTAAATGCCAAACACATGAAAGTTTGAATTGCAGATGCAATGGCGATGGAGAGGTAACTCAACGAAAAACGTTTTTTTTTTTTGTAATTGTAATTTTGTTCTTATTTCTAAGAAATTGGCTCTTGACGCAACGACTAGTGCTCGAAAGATGAATGAATTAATGAACTGGAAGCATTATAAACCGCCATTTGACCTTGATTTTTTGGAGGTAAAAATACATACATATTTGGAAGTGACGTGCACACAAACCTATACATACGTATAATTATATATTTTTTCTGTTTTAGGCGACATGTCTGGACAAAGCGGGCGATAATCTCATGTATGTGTTTACCAATGAGATTAACTTTAGTTAAATAAGTTATTAGTATTTAATTAAGTATATTCAAAATATTGTTAAAAATTTAAGATGAATATGAAGTTCAACCTTAGTTTAACATAAAGGGTTTGCTTATTCATGTTATTACCACAGCTCAATACTAGTCCTCGCTTTCTAACGATATATTGCTTCCGAATCGTTGGTACAGGTGCGATTTCAGCTCATTCATTTCGGATTTAATTTCATTTGCTTTCACCTCAATCGCAGCAATTTCTTTTAATGTTTCCTCTTTAACCGCAGCCAAAAGTTCCTGTTGGAGAAAATACTACTTCATATAGTTTTACCGAAAAACATTTGTATGCTTTACCTGTGTTTTTGTTAATTTGTGTGTTAAGAAAACTTCGCCAAACAAGAATGGTATCTCTTCATCTTCATCGAAAAGTTCAATTTCGTCCAGCGCTTCCTCCACACTCTTCAAATCATTTTTCTTCATATCCAGCTCCATTTTCAGATCATCCATACGCGCATTATGTTTTGCGAAACGATTAATTTTCTGTTGATCTTCGAAGGATATGTGGACATCATCCTGTTAAGGAATATACATAGATATAAACAAATATTTTAATGCGGTTTTAATATGAGCAATCCTAGACCGATTTGCTTCATTGAGGTTAGGTTTCTTTCAACGATTGGGGTTTTGTAAATCAAAATCTCCATGTCAACTTACCGCCTGGAATACTTTATTGTTGCCCGATGAAACTTTTGCTGCCATTTTCTGATAATATTTTCAACAAATACGCGATTTTATTTCAATAATTATCGCACCTGCGGTGATAAACAATGCAAAATATTCCAGCTAGAATGTCAAATCTTAGGATGTGTTTCATATGCACAAGCTCAACTGTCAACGCCTCAGCTGTTTGCTTTCCTGTCGATAAAGCAGGTTTCATTGCATTTTAACTTTGCGTATGCGTTTCCGGAAATGAGTGTCCGTCGGAAATAACTTTATTTTGCCCTTTAAACCTACTTTATTTTTTATGAATGAGGCCATTCGAATATAAGGTGGTATGTGTATGTTATGTAACAAAATTAATGGTTGACAGAGTGCTACAAAATTGAACATTGAAAATTAGTTCAATTTTTTTTTTTTAAATTGAAGCAGAGAACGACGATAAGGTACCACTGAAGAAGTCGACGTTGCCACTAAGGTCATTAATAGTGTCGCCTTGGTGTCTGCTATTCTATTCCCTGGGTCGTAGCGCACATAATTTTTTGTTGAGTTAACAGTGTGTAATAGTATTCTTATTCCTTAGATCCGGCTTATTGCAAATTAGACCAAATTGCTCTAATATTTCTGGAGAATCGATGTGACCATTGATGACCTTATAGAAGAATACTATGTCTGCGGCTTGCCTGCGATCTGCTAGTCTCGTGATATCAAGCTGTTTGTAAACATCTTCGTGGCTTACGTCAAGACGTCTCTTACGCAAAGAATACGTGATGTGTTTGCAAAGTAGCAAGATGCTGACGATGAGGCACCAGCTAATGCGGAAAACCAAGAAGAACCCGTGAACGAAGAGGCAACACCTGAAGTTGCGAAAGAATGTTCAGTGAAGTCAATGCCTCTGCTAAAGTTGCTGGCGATAAATCATTCGGACCCATTTACCGTTATACAAAAAGTAAATCGTGTCATGGCTGCATCCAGCTAACAGTTTTGATACTAACCATTTGGAGAAATTAAATGCACCTGCTAGTGCAAGTTTTGAGGAGTCACATGCCATAGAAACAGAAACGGCAACCACAATAATTTGGGAGCATAAAAGGCCAAAAGAGCAAGCCGAGTTTCCTGAGATATGGCGTAAGAGGAAGAAACTAACACGTTGAAGGTGGAGAAAGTTCTGAGGGTCAATTGGATTGGATTTCCTGTCCACAACAAATTTAAAATAAATATTTTGAAGGAAAAAAATAAATATGTATGGCAGTATGTTGCAATATCTTTGAAGATGGATACATATCTGCCTGGGTAATAAAATTAAATATAGTAAAAACGTTTAGCCTATTTCATAAATTGCCAGCGACAATTTCGCCACGACAGGCATATTCCGTATTGTCAGTGACAATTCGACAGTTTGGTGGATGTTTTTTTTTCATAAAAGCTGTTGTCGACCCGGTTTCAGTTCCATGAAAAATTCCAATTAAGAAGTGACAAAATTGTCGTTGTCGGGTTTTAAAATTGTTGTTGACGAAATTGTCGCCAGTCATATGAAACTTATATCTAATTCGGATATAATAATTGCATATGCATTTTTTTAGTTTTTACAAATATTAAAGTATTGAAATGCGTGTAATAATAATATGGACAAATTTACAAAACTCTCCTAATTCTTGTAAGCGGGCTGTACCCCTGACGGAAAGCTATTACCAAGCAAGATTAAAAACTTATTCATATTTTCTGCGGCTTTAATTTTTAGCATACATATGCATAAAAAAAAATTACAATAAAAAAATTAAACAAACTAAATAATTACTGAAAATTAGTTTTACGCGTCTGATAATTTATGTATTTCTTTTTGTTAATTCATATGTATATTATAATTGATACACGGGTATTAAACGAAATTTATCAACAAACTAAACAGTGATTCAACTTAAAATAAAACTGAATGAAAGTTTACGCCCATAATTACCTAAAAACAGTATGTACATGACACCTGTGGTGAATTAATTCATTGTTTTCTTTGGTTTAAGATTAACATGAAATCGCACATATGTATGTATGTACTCGGACACACGCACGTATGTATAAATATACATATCATTGAACGTAAACAAAAAAATATGTTTATGTATATGTTTGCTTACAAAAAATTTTCATACGACTACAACCAATTAAACAAAATCACTATGAATCTAGATTAAAAAAATCTATATGTTTGTATATGTACAAAAAATATATATATGTAGTATGTATGCACATTTAATTAAGTGGTAAAAGTTCAAGAAACGAACTAACCGTCCAACAAATTAAAGACAGTATATCGCTACTTAATTCCCAAAGGTCCCTACCAACACTTTTTT